CTTTTGTTTTTTCCTTGCTCTAAATCACCAAGCAGCAACTTACATGGAATACTGACTGATCCAGGAATTTTTCCATGCTCTGCGATTTCCCATTTTTCTCTAACATCAATAAGGCAGATGGCCTTTGATTCCAACAAATCTTTGAGTTGTTGGTAGGAGATGTTATGATCCTCAGCTGTGCAAAAGTGACAATCAATCTGTCTCCTGTTTTTTAGATCTGTACAATAAAGAAAAACATTGTCAACAACAGTACTACAGATTCTGACATGATCATCAAAGCACTAATTTACTTCTAAGTGCTGCTGGGCAACACCAGCTAGGGGAATCAATACATTGACCAAGCATTTAAATGGACAAGTAGAGTCCAGAAGTGCTGTCTATATTTACTCACAGCAGCTCCTCAGATCACATGAATTTCATACATTCTTTTTCTCTGCTCAAAGGAGGCGGCTTAGGATGTATTTTACGATACAAAAGCTGCATTGGTTTAACCCATTAAGCTAAAGTATCAAACTACATTGTGGTTGAATATGATGGTCTGGTTCATATGCTAAGACAATCTGGTTTATTTGATTTTGGCTTAGCCACTGTGATTTGTAAACCATGGCTTATGTTTTAGCATGTTATGTGAACATAGTGGAGTCATACGCCAGAGGAAATCATTCTAATTCTCTTGAAAGTCCTCTCCAGGACTCTTTATGAAAGGAAGAATACCAACTTTTATGACTGCTTTCTTATACTATTTGGGAACTAAATACATTGATCTGTGGCTTATTCAGCAATCCATGCCTTAGCATAATGTGAAAATGAAGTTATAATTGTCCTTCTTTCTGTGTATCACTATAGTTTTGATGTAAAACTCAAAACATCTGCCATAAGATTGCTAGTCGGAAAAAGATATGAGGAAGAAGTAAATAAGGTTGGGAAAGTATGCAGAGCATAGTTTCTTAAATGTTTTACAACCTATTTGCCTAATCAGTGGCCGTTGCAGATGTATTTTCTTCCTCATAATGAAATAACATACTGGGTTATGTATGTGTGCACTATCTCCCCAGGGCTAAGATGTGTGCATATATATATACATATTGTCTCTGTGGGTATGCCTATGTCTTGCCTCTGTTTTCTGCTCTCCCCTTGTGCTGTATATGTGTGTTTTTATTATTTATTTATTAATTTTTCAGTGCATAGAGCTGCCCACTCATCATGCAATTTTGGATGGCTAACAGCCAGTTAAAAAACAAGAAAATTTTATTGATTGATTGGCACGGCTGCCCATCTTACCTAAGCAACTTTGGGCAGCTCAAAAAAATAATAAAATAATTTTATAATAAAAAAACATTAAAGTGACACATTGTGCTTGAGGTGGCTCACAATCCCCACAATTGTGTACCTGAATATGGGCTCGCCCAGCATCCTGGCACCCTGCTTGAGGAAAGAACTGCCAAGGCTGGTGGCATCTTCTGTATGTGTATGCATGTTCTGAGAAGCATAGAGCAGGCTTCATACGTTCTGGGTCATGGAGGAGAAAGTGGGGGCTTAGAATGAAGGAACTGCCAACATTCTGAGCCAGTGAATGTTTTCCCCTGCAGCTCCTACTCTGATCTGGCCCATTTTCAAACTTGATCATTCTTTAGCTGGCCATTCACCTCCTACCAAATCTGTTCACTTTAATAAGAATTCTCCTGTTGACAAACATATAGGCTCCTGAACCCATTTATATAATGCATGTACAACTTCCCATTGGTTTTGGAAAGAATAACAAGTTAGGAAAAGTACCCAGAGCATGACTTCTGGAATTCTTTCCAACCACTTAAAAACAATTCTGCTCTGTGTCACATGACTGGGAAGGAAAAGGGTGGTGGGGAGGGCTTGGAATGAGAGTGTCCAGGACATTATAAGCCTCTCCCATAGGAATACTTTATGGAAATTATTTCTGGAATGTCTTTCTCTGCAGCCCATTTTCAAACTCAGCATTTGTTTTGCTGGCTTCTTCTACACAGCACATTTGGTCTCATTCTGTTCAGTTTTCAGAGGGTTGTTGGATAGGTTAATCCAAGCTAATTTATAAGATTTCAACATTTCACTGAGTTGGAAAGAATAAAAAGCATGCAACAAATATCAGAGCACAGCGTAGAAGGAATAGTGCATTATCACAGGCAACCGGTACAAGCCACAATGATCTCACATGTGATATCACACATGACGCAAAGTACATAATTCACCCTGCATGATGACATCTTGGTGCACGTGACATCAATTGCTCCCTCTTACTCCCCCTGCAGAAGCCCACATACATTGTTGTTGTTGTTTAGTCGTTAAGTCGTGTCCGACTCTTCGTGACCCCATGAA